TGAGTTTGGACAAGGTTTGACCAATTTTGGCCTTTTCATTTCGAGCAAAGTATTGCTCGAGTTCCTTCAGACACATATTGGCATCAGTAGTCTCAACTATCGAGCCCATAAACTCCTCCGGAACGAAGCATTTCATGATTATTAGACACATGCGATTTAAGCGTTCCCACTTCTCAACCTTATCCGTATTCAAATTTTCTGGAGTAGAAGTGGGTTTCTCAATCCTTAGTGGATTGTCTAAATCCATGCAGTCGAGAACAATTTCTACATGCTCTTTCCACAGCTTTAAATTCGCCCCCTTAAGCGTGGGAATTATATTCACTTGAGCAACAAAGCTAGCAGAAATAGCAGAAACTGTATAGAGAATAAAATAAGATAACATACTCATAACAGTCATATCATGTATATATTTAAACACCACCATAATCATATTACATACATGATATTGACAAATAATCGGAAGTCAAATGAGTTTATTTACAATATACCTAGCACAACATTGACATTCATTCTTTGGACAAAAATATCAACTTGTAAGTGGTACTCTCAATGTAGTAATCAAACATTGACAATAAGTCATGTCAAACCATAGCCTTACTTTGGGCCGACTATGACTCACATGGTGAAGCCTTAATAATTGTCACATATTTATTACCACGGGTATGTCCATTACTTGGCCAAATAATAACCTTTCTTTGGGCCGATTATTATCTGCATAAACAACAAACACACACATAATCATACAACATATATTATTTGGCCAAACAACTACCTTTCTTTGGGCCGATAATCATTCGCATAAATAATATATATTTATATGATCAACCTATTTGAAATCAAATTAACCTTTATAAATTTGGCCATTTTGGCAGCTAACAAATTTTTAATATTTAATTTCAAATAGAAACCTTTTTTGATAATAGACCCATTTAATAACAAAATAACAACAATAAAGAAAATTATTCTTTATCAATCCTCAATGTATATACATACATAATGTATCATTATATCAATAACAATAAATACATTTTCATTATAAGGCTTAAAAATTAATGCACAATCGATGCACAGGTAAGCATTTTCAAATGAAAGCTTGAAAATGATTCACAATACCCAAAAATTTAAATTTGGCTTTCGACAAAGAATATCAAATCTAAGAAAAAAACCCCAAAATCAAAGACCTTAAACATTCGATTTCTTTCAAACTATAAGTCCAAAAGATTCCATCTTTAAGCATATTCAAAAGTTTAAATAATAAACCCTTATTAAACTGCGAATCTTAGATTTTCAAAAGATTATAACTTTTGTTCCAAAACCAAAAATTACAGTCAGGGAACAAAAACAACACTATATAGCTAATACAAAATACATAAGATGGAACCCACATTAAAAAAAAAAGTAAACTCCATGCCAAAAGACAACAAAGCAAAACTTTTCACGATTCATCATATATAAAAATCACGAAACTTAATTATCTCATGATTCAATATGATTATGACTCTGATATCAATTACTGGAATAATAATTCCTCTTAACCTTATGATTATAACCAGCACAAACAAACCAAGATCCCTCATACTAAATCATAAAGGAATATTAACATAAAGGTGGAGGCATACTTGTCTCCATAGCGACGGAATAACTTCATCTCCTTCGGGGTATACGATCTTCCTTTGTCGAATAGCCTTAATCCTTATTCTTTAATAAGATCTTCTCTTTACGGGGATTTCAATCTTCCTCAGTTAAATAGCTCTATTCCTTATTCTTTAGTGTGTTGTCTCTCTCTTTACAGGGAAGAGAAACTAGGGTTGTTATTTGACATATTAGGGACCATAATCCTTTATAGTGTTTTTCTTTATTGTTGGGCCAATAAGCTCCTATTATACCTAGTTGGTCCAACCCTGGTATCCACCCATTTGTCCCACACTTACTTAGGAATCTATTTGGGCATCTTTATTTGATCACTTTAATTTACCCAATATATATTAAATAACATAATATAATTATTTATACAATATGTAGCTCACAAACATATTAGGAAATATAATTTCCTAACATAATGACCCACACCAGTTAATCTTTATTATAAAGATTTAATTTGAGGATTTGGATGTCAAATATGTGTTTAGAATGTGATTTTATATAGTCGGACACTTTTTGCGAAAATATCACGAATAGTGATTTTTGCCGAGTATTTTGTATCGTTGTTTAAGTAACCGATAGAGTCCAAAAATGAATAAATAATGTGATAAGTATATAAAAGTTCAATATAAGTCAAACAAGTCATGTTTAGACCAAAAATGATAAGTTAGAAATTTTACGATTTTACGTGCAAACATTACACAGTTAGTGATTAACAGTCAGTGCCAAACAATGCACAATTAGGAATCTATCTTATAGACATTAATGGAAGAATGGTCACTTGTAAGACTCTATTAGCAAAAAAAAATCAGTTTGAGATAACTTCTCTCTCAGAAGCATTTCAATAGCCCTTGGACTTTTTTATTATAACATTTCAATCAGACCAACTATTATTTACTTACTATAGTTGTTCTTTTGCTTTTAATAAAAGAAAGACGTGTCATTTAACTTCCATAGGCTATTAATTGTTTCATATTTGCTTTCTTAACTAGACTCCAAATTGTTGATGTTTTTGCTCCGATATTATAAATTTCTGGGTCTGCCACTATCATTGACCTTGATCTATTATGGGTCACAGACCTAACAAAAAAGTGATAAATAATCTCTAGCTGGGTTCATGAGCATGAACCATGGAAATCAAATGCATAATGGAGAAGATAAAAATTGACATCTTATATTGGAGGACAAATCAGACAGCCAAGAATAACTCGAAGAAGAGAAGGAAGCAAATGAAACGGAGTTTCAAAAGAGTTATGGAAGAAGATGATGTAAAGAATTTCAAATGTACAAAGGCAGCAAAAACTAGGATGCACGAGGCTAAGTTTTTTACAATAAGTAAAATATTATTAGATAGTTACGAATATTTGCTTTAACTTTTCACAAAGTTAACGTCATCAAAATTTGTTTGTGTTAGATTGACTTTTTTTATATAAGGATTTTTTATTTATTTTTTCTACAAATAGAGAATGCCACGATACTTTTTTTTTTAGATGGTAGCAAGCATAATGTTTTATATTTTCATTTTTAGTTATATTATATTATTATATACTCGTTTTTCATGAGATAGATATTTCTACTGTTCATTAAATAAACAAAATTAGATTTCCCTAAAAAACAAAAGAAAACAAAAGTAGATGAAATAGCGGGTCCCATCCCAGCCTCAAACATAGACAGTCGTGAAAGCGAAAACAAGTTTCCCGTGGGACCCACATGGTGACCCTCAGGCAATACCAGACACATACCTTCACTTTCACTCTCCTCTCTCTCTCTCTCTCTCTCTCTCTCTCGTTCCACAGAAGTGAAAAAACAGACATGTATTACACGAAGAAGAAAGAAGAAGACTAAGATGATTTTGATGGTGAACAACAACGTGGAAGATTGATTCATTACCTCCTCAACCAGTGCAACCACCGTTGGTTTCCACTTCTTTGCTCGCTTACCAACTACCTCATACATTAATTTTCTCACCCAATCACATATCGGATCTTCCTCGGGATCTTCGAAACCAGTTTCTCTCTCATTTTGCCGCCATAACATACCCACGTGCACTTGCCACTCCCCCTTCCAATTTTATTTTCTTTTGTCATCTGGGTTGGTAAGTTCTCTTCTCGATTCTTCAGAAAACTTTGAGATTTCGATGGATGCTGCATTTTCCCATTACCTTCTTCTTCTGGGTATTTTGTTTTTTCAACGAAAAAACGAATCTTGGGTTGAAAGGAAATTTTTTGTTCCTGTGTTTTATCGGAGATGTGGGTTTTGTTGGCCTTTATTTCTCAGGAAAAGGGTTTTTGACTTTTTATTTTTGTTATTGCATCTTTTTTGTCTCGGTATCCAAACAGGAATATATCTTGTGATCTCATTTATAAATTTGGATTCTGTTTCGAATTGTTGACCCGTGTTGGGTATTAGCAACCCCATCGTTTTACACATTGATCAGCTCACGGGTGTCACAGTCCAAGTGTTGCATAACTGCATAAGTATTAATCTATGCTACGTCCATGATTCTCTGTTTTGCGTTGGTGTTCTGTTTTGTGTTCTACAAGAGTTTATGCCATGACATGATATGAGTTTATGAGTGATAAGCATCAAATTCAGAAGCCACATATTCTTTGGTCAATGGATGGTGCAAATGAGTACACATACTCTGTTCCATCATTTTTGCTCACTGAATTAGGACGTGGATGTTTTGGGCAAGTCTATATGCATTTTCTTTTCTACAATAAATTCAATCACTTTCATTTCACGTGGTTTTCTGCCATATTTGATTCTGGGCAATATCAAAATCAAATTTCTATATTTCTAAGAACAATTTACTATTTGTGTATGGTGCCCAAAAAAAGGCAATAACCCCTTTTATGTCTTTATTTTTTTTCACCCCAAATATCATTTGATTGTTGAATATCATCACTTGAATTTATGTCTTCATATTTTTCACACGGACAATGCCTTAATCTGATTTTTTTTTTTTTTTTTTTTTTAATGTCTATCAACATCTCTAATACTAGAAAATGCAATATGGGAGGCATGATTGTTCTGCGTATGCATATATACCATTGTTGGGTTGTGAAAAGTAATTTGATAGCGTAGTTGCCTTGTTTTACTGAATTGCTTTGGATGCCGTTAAAGTTCCTTTTGCAAAATCTTTATTCTGGGAATTCTAATATTTGCACCATATTTTTGGATTCTTCTTTTTTTACAACTTGTTTAACTGATTTAAATGTGAACATTCCAGATATATAATTGCCAGATCAAGGGAAAACTCATCTGCAGCATGAGATCATGAGTGAAACTTCAGATTGAAATCTGAGTAAACATTGTGCAATGCGATTCAATATACAGCCAAACTAATGAGTAATGACATGGGGTCTAGTTTAGACCTCAGAAAGATGAGCACAAAACGACAAAGCAGATCAAAGACAGATAAGGAAAGTTATGTTTTTCCCCAATCCAATCCATGTCCAAGGGATTCAGATAAGTTGAAAGCAAAGTCTGGTGTTGTTGGAAGTTCAACTCAACGTGATGAGCTTGTCAAGTACATGTCTAATGTGCCAGGTTTTCTCAAGCGTTCTGATGGAGGACAAAACATTCAAGAAAAGGCATTAAATGTTGGGGTTCTAGATTGGTCACGACTTGAAAAATGGAAGAACAAGCAAACACATGCACCGGCTCTAGCTAGCAATTTCACATCATTCAATAGCAGTGAAGAATCATCATCACGGGCAGCCACCACGTCATCTACAATTGCTAGCGGCCATAAGAAGTTTGATGATAAAAAAGGTTTGCGTTCTTCAAATATCAAGGGATCTTACAAAGAAGACCTTCATAGAAGTTCCAAATTGTCTTCTCAGCATGTCAAACGATATCAATATTCTGAAACTGAAACAAAGACCATTGGAGATGAGCACAAAAAGACACCTTGGGAATTTGATTCTATGGTCAAAACTCAGTCAGATATGTCAATTCATAAGGAGATGGGGAATGACTATTATAAAACAACTTCAATAGTTGGAAATTCTGCATCAAAGTCCAGGCATCATGGGGTCTCATTAGTTCCTGACGAAAATTCAAAAGGTAGGGATGTTGAAGCTAAGAAGAGCATGCATGGATTGCAACAACATAGCCTCAAGAAAAAGGAGAGAAATCTTAAGTATAGTTCTGATATGAGACTTCCATCATTAAAATCAAAAAATGAAGGAGTCTCATTCGGTTCTCAGAAAAAAATGAGTTCCAGCAGCAGTGAAGCCAAGAAAAAGATGGATCAGCCGCAGGAGACAGATATTGATGTTGGTCATAAACAATGCCATAGCATGCCACCAAGCAATATTGTGCTGCTTCGTCCCCGAAAAGTTCTTCAATCAAGTTCTAAAGATTATTTTCAGCTTTCTGAATCAAGAACTTCATCTGATGAATTTTTTTCAGAATCAAGCCTGAGTGATTTGTCATACGTTTCCCTTCCTGCGGAGGTTTACTCTGAAGATGAATATTCTGAAATTCCTAGTTCAAGTGTAGTGTCTTCAGTGACTGAGCATGCTTCTTCTTCAAAAACAGTGCTACACAGTGTCCATACTGATCTAGATATTGGTCGTTCCTCTGTTGTAACTAAGAAACTTGCTTGCTCAAATAAGATGCCTAGTCTCCAATCTGAAGGTACTTGCATTGAAAAGGATGTGTTAGGCATCAAGCTAAGAAATCAGTGTCCTTTTAATAATATGAAGGAACCACAAGACCATGAAACTACTACAACCCATTGCTCAAATAAGATTGGAAGAAGTTTCAGTTTCAATGAGAGGTCTACCCTTCCAAAACTTAGCTCCATGTACGTAAGTGCAAAGTCTGGTCCAGTGACATCTGAATCTTCTGGTTGTTTGGATAATGCTAATAAAGACAAGGTAAATGGTCATAAAAGAACCATGTCCAACCCCTTGCTGAGGTTATTAGACCCTATATTGAAGCATAAGGCATCAAACATAAACCGTTCAGCTGAACACATTCCGACACCAAAAGAAAGCAAGAATTCAATCAACTTGACGACAACCAATCTGCATGCTGAAAAGAGCAAGGAATCATCAGTTCAAGCCCTTTTGCAGCTAACAATAAAGAATGGATTACCTTTGTTTAAATTTGTGCTCAACGGTGAAAGAAAGGTTTTTGCTGCTAGCATGAAAACTTTAGCATCACCAGAGAAGGATGATGTAGGATGCTATTTTACATTCTACCTCGTTAATGAAATTAAGAAAAAGAGTGGTAAATGGATGAGTTACTGGAGTAAAGAAAAAAATTGTGGATATGTCTACAATATTGTTGGTCAGATGAAGATTTCTAGCTCTAAAATCACTGAATCAAGGAATCAAAACTCCAAGAGACAGTGTATGGTGAAAGAATGTGTCCTATCAGGAATTGAAACTGACCAGACAGATCAAGGGCCACCAAAATTCATAAAGAGTAGGGATCTTGCAGCTGTTGTAATAGAGATCCCTTACGAAAATGTAAGTCATGAAGGACTGCATAGTAACAATTTTCTGAAGAATGGATGCTTAAAGTGCTTGGCAGATGAAAGATGTTTTTGCTGCTTACCAGAAAATGATACATCTGGTAGCATTATAGTTATACTTCCAGGTGGTGTACATAGTTCACCAAACAATGGAGAACCCTCACCATTGATCCATCGATGGAAAGCCGGGGGAGTGTGTGATTGTGGAGGTTGGGATGTTGGCTGCAAACTGCTTGTTCTCTCTAACCAGAACCCAAATTCAATTGTTCCAAGAAGTTCAAAATCTTACCTTGAGAGATTTCAACTTTTTGTTCAGGTATGCTTTTTCTTTTCTGCCTGAGGTCATGAGTATATAGTTATACAGTTTTAAATATTGTGGATAGCCCATTTGATGTCATCAATGTCATAATTTTCAGGAAGGGGCTGAGCAAAACACACCCCTCTTCACTTTGGTGCCATTGAATGATGGACTCTACTCAGTTGAATTCAGTTCAACAATCAATCATTTACAGGCATTCTTCATTTCTGTAGCAGTTTTAAGCAGCCAGAAACTACCAAGTTCCTTGGAAATGAGTATTATGCAAGAAGAGATCAATAAGGAGCTCAGTTCCAAGAACAACAATGAACTTCAGGAGAAAGCACCTATAAATTATAATCCAATTCCACCCATCTCTCCTGTTGACAGAGTTTAATTTCAGAAACTGGAGGCTTTTTCCCCATTCATAGTTAGCTGTTATATATCTCCAAGTAGCTAAGGAATAGCATATAAATGCACTGCGAAATACTTTTCCTTTCACTTCCTTTTCCCTTTGATAGCAATCCCTCAATCCTTCCCATTAGAGTACTTGTAGTGGCAGAAAATGGTATTCTCATTGTACCATTATATTCACTGTACAAAAGAACCATTGCACCAATACCATCTTTGTACAAAACACTACATGAATGAATAAAACCATTACAGTTTTCCATTGCACAACTTGGGCAATGTGAAACCGAACAACTGAAAGTATAATATGATCAATTAAGGTATTTGAGGCCGTGCCTTCAATAGTTCTCTCACCTGTTCAGTTTATGGTGTGGTATAAATCAAGTAAGCACTACTCCATGACTCTCAGTTTTGACATCATTGCAATATCTCCTCTTAGAGATGTATGTACGGTTTAATAGACTTTTGTATATGGTTATTCTTGAGATATATAGTCCCGCGTTGGTTGTATGTGAAACTAATGTGGAGTTTATAAGGTCTTGGGCACTCCCACCCTTTGAGCTTAAGCTTTTGGGTTGAATTGGTTCTTTACATGATATCAGAGCCTCGCCGTCTTTCACTTTCTCTTGTGGAGTTTCTTAGCACAGGTAGGCTGGGCCTGTTGCATTGTCCACTCTTCAAGCCCAATGGGTTCTCGTGTGAGGTGGCGTGTTGAGATATATAGTCCCACATTGGTTGTATGTGCAACTAATGTGGAATTTATAAGGTCTTGGGCACTCCTACCCTTTGAGCTAGCTTTTGGGGTGGTATATCCTAAGGTTCTTTACAGTTATGATTCTTATACGATTAAGAAAATCAAATTCTAAATGATATTAATTGGAACAGAGAATGTTCGGTTGTTATGAAAGAAAAAGCATAATTTATTTCCTAGATTGAAGAAATCGTTTTATTCCTAGTGTCTAAATATGATTTATACATCCAGATATCAATGATGAACGGTACTTGCTCTGGTTGGTTGAGACTTGTACTGCAACAGATAGCTCAACTCATGTATGAATGTCTAGATTGGTCCATTATATGTCAATTATTACGGGTGATAAATGAACCAGGGGCCTTAAAGGCCTGGCTCGTGAAGATCTGGGTTTACATATCTAAAATTGATTGTTTGAACCAGGTATAGACTTGCTCGTTTAATAAAAATGTTTTATGCTTTAATTCAAAAATTCGGTCAGAGCCGAACTAGTATACTAACTTTTTTTTTTATACTACTCATAATAATCCTCTCTCTCTTCAACCCATTTCATCTCATTTTATTGGTTAAATAAACTTTTTGAATGGTTTTGTTCTATATTATGCTATTTGGATATACATTGAATTTATAAATCTTTGTGGAATTATTAGTGTTGTTGATCGTATATTTTGTCTGGATAAATTTTGATTGTCTTATTTTTTTAGGGGTTTGCATTCATCATTTAACATGAAACACAAAAGTTTCCTACACACAAAATATTTTGTGGGGCCTCACTTTCTGAAGAAAAAAAAAAAAACTACGGCACGCAAAACGAATCTCTATAACATTACACAATCACTTTTCCTACAACATAACTTTTATAAAACCCTTTTTTTTAACAGGCTAAACTAGATTTTTATTTTTTAAAATAAATCAGGCTACATATCGATAATTATATTCATATCATGTAACAAACTAGGCTAGACTGACATATTTAAACACAGACTTAACCTTTTAAAACAAAAGTCTAGCGCGGTTTGGTATGTTAACACCCTTATCAATCATTAACCAACTATCAAAAGTTTAAGCTATCAAAATACATAAATGATTTTATATTTTAAGATTAATATTTTAATATTGCATGCATACATAAGCAAGAAACAGCCAAAGAAGCTTATTGAAATGTAAACTGCGGAGAAAATGAGGAACCCAAATGCACTGGTTAGCAACAGAACTTTCTTCATAAAAGAAAATATAGATTTTTGTTACGGGAAAAAGAATAGATTGTAATAAAAAGGAAAACTTTAGTTGGTACTTTCGGTTTTGAGGTCTAGAGATATTCTACACATGGAGCGTTTGGTACAAGAGATTTTTTTTTTAACTGGAAAAAAAAATCTAAAAATATGATGGGAAATTTTTTTTCCTGAAAAAGTAACAAGAAAGTGTTTGATATGTCAAAATTTTACCCGACAAATGAGGTTAATTTTATTGATATTATATTTGGTTGACGATAGAATATTGAAAGGAATCTTACCAGAAATTACCAAATTATCCTATATAATCAGAGTACATTTGCATATATATCAAGAGGGCATTATGGTCTCAATTAGTTAAGATTAGAATCAGAGAGAAAAAAAAAATACCACCAGTTGGAGAGAATTCTTTTTATCCCGTGGTTAGTGTAAATGTGGATTGATGGGAGAATTTTTTTACAGGAAATAAATTAGGATAGCTTATACTAAATATAGACAAAAAAAATTTCCACCCCACTTCACCATCATTCTAAACAAAAGCTTCATACCAAACATCTCCTAAATGTTTGTTGTATTGTGCCAAAAAAGTGCCACACAATAAAATTTGCCCGGATCTTATATTAAGAAGTATTAGTTTGCATGAGGCCAATTGTCTTTACATTGAGAAGTCAAATTGATCATAGAAGATCTCCACTCAACACGATAGAGTTTTCCAATAACTTATTTTATTTTTATTTTTTTGGAAACTAGTTTTCCAATAACTTGTTAAATCACTTAACGCATATAAAAATTATATATATTGTTTAGGGTAATTTTGATCTTTAAAATTATATTTAAACCATGATATCAGGTAATTTCGCCAAAAGTTAAAGACAGGACTTACATTGTGCCATACTAGTATACTACATAGAGGCATAAAACAGGTCCTCGGTGCTTTTAGCATTTGATCTTTTCCCTTTTCGTACGTAAGTTAAATATGCTTCTGCTTTTTTTTTTTGGGTACAAATATGCTTCTGCTTTTATTATGAGTAAGATAGATAGATAAAGTGAGATAGATACAGAAATGATTGGAAAGATAGATAAAATGAGATAGGTAGAAAAATGTAAAAAAAAGTTGTTTGGTGGGGAAAAACTTTACTGGAAAAATTAGATAACTTTATAAAATCAATAGTGCATCAAAAGCCAGATAACTGGTTTTCTGAAAAATCTCACCTTCAAATTGGGTTTCTAAACAGTGCGGATATCTATGTTTCTCATAAATCCAGACAAATTGGATAGATGAGTTTTTGGTGAAAAACGTTGAAACAAACATAATATTTCTAAAAGCCATACTTGATAAAGATAGATATCCGCTGAAAAGCTCCCAACCAAACACCACCTTAGTGTTTTCTGCTCATATATACTTTAATCTCCAAATACATACAAATATCCTTTCACCTTTATCTATCTGTATATATTTTTAAACTTTTATTTTTTTTAATCGTTTAAGAGCATTATGTTGGAATATAAATTTTGCTTAATTTATCTTTTATTACACTAAAGTTTATCTGGAGAGAGAAAATTTCTCCAATTGACGCATCTAAAGTCATGTTTCTATTTTTTTTTTCTCCAGGTGAGTCCCAAATTTAATGGGTCAGTTGAAGATTTTTTTTTTCTCCAGCAATAGGAAACTCATAATTTTAAAAGTTTATGCTTGTTGTGCTGAGATATTGCATGACATATCAAAGATGTAAAAGTTCCTAGGTTTCTTATAATTAAGAAAATAGGTAGTAAAAAAGACATTTACGAGGGTGGAAAGACGATTATAAAAAAAAAAGTGGAAAGATATAAATTTAAAATTGGATTAGTCGAGTCCGTTAGGATATCAATTAATAGCTATTAAAAAAAGGAAAAAAAAAAAAAAAAAAGACATTCAAAATTATTCAACAGCTCGACATTATTACTTTTATGCATATCACATTGCAATGTATAGAAGGCATCCTATGGTGGAAAGACCGGTCATTATATGCATATCAGATTGCAATCTTTAGAAGACAACTTATGGCTCACTTTTATGGATCCTGTAGTGGGTACAATTAAGAAGATGGAGTAGAAATAGCCACAAGAATCCATTGAAGAGGTCAACCTCATTGAGGCCATTGTTACCACTAACCTCCAATATCTCGAACACCCATTATCCACTCAGATTTCATTCCTTTTGAGTTGTCTCACGAATAATGATGCTTAACGTTCCTTTAACAAATACTTTTCTTTGTTTTCCAAAAAAAAAAAAACACAAATACTTTTCTTTTAAAGAAAACATCTATCCTAATCCTTTATAAACGCATATGACACTAATTTTATTTTCCAATATAAAAGATACTAATTTAGTATCTCATTATTATAGAAACTTATATATTTTTTATTCATCAGGGCGAGTGTCTGAGCAGTAATAAGGTTGTTTTTTCTTATGGAAAGGTTATATGTTTGATTTTAGGAAACAGTCATTTTGCAAAAAATGAAGGGCTTTATTAATATTATATTATAGGATAGTAGTTCTCTTCTATCATAAATATAATCATAGGTGAGATCTACTTACTTATAAAAAATAAAATAATAAAAATTGAGCTACACAGAAATCGATGAATGTGTAAAAAAAAATTACTCTTCAACAATATAAGAATAATGTTTTTCAAAAATAAAAGAATATGGTTACGTACACAATTGGCCTTCAGGTATACTATCACTAGTGTTATTAAACATAACTCGGGCATTGACTCGGTCGGGGTACTGAGTTACTGGATCGCTAGTCGGACCGGTGGATCATTGGTGAGACCGGTTGATCCGGATATATATAAATATATAAAATATGAACGTATAAATTTAATTATATTTTCCATATCTAAAATGAATTAAACAAGGTTCATTAAATAAGCATAAAAACATGAAGCACAAATAAATGAAAATGCACGTTATTACTATGTCAATTTAAATTGAAACTCAGAATCCCAATAAACATACTTCTCAATGACATCGAACTCATATTTTTTAAATTTATCTACATTGAAATGACACATGTCACATTCTCTTAATTTATTATTTCGCGAATTGCTTCAGTATTGGAATATGAAATTTGAGGTCATTGTAGAAGAGTATACTAGCAAATAAAATTATAAAAAAATTTAAAATGAGTTCTACATTTTTTTTGACAAGATGAAACAATTTTGATTTTTTGGTTTAAAAATGGATGACTCGACCGGGTCACTGATTTTGACCAAATTTGT